TTTTTCAGCCATCAAAATTTTGGGGCCCAGTCCCTGGACCCATTGTGTACCTCTATAATCTGTTAATACCTTTGTAACTTGTCATGATTGTGACTAGACCTACCTGGAGTTCATTACCTTTGTAATGAACTCAAAACTTTGAGGCCCAGTCCCTGGACCCATTATGTACCTCTGTAATCTTTTGACTACCGCCCACAGGATGGGTATGGGGTGCATAATAAACATATTAAACTAACTAACCCTTCCTTGGCTTATTGCTTAATATATTAATAATCAACAAAGAAGCATGTTGTGATTTTAAGAGCAAAGTTAGTGGATATAACAACTCAGAATTTCCTTAGTTATGTCAAACATGATATAAACCTTGGCATTATCACGGGGGAATGCTAAACCCGTAGGGAATAACCCTTGGAAACTTATATCAACAAAGTGGCATAAAAACACACCTAAGCAATCAACTACGACATATTTATTAGGCACGTTTGTCATTTATTTATTATAATGATAACTAAGTGCTCAACCTACACGGTTCATATGTTTATTAGAAAACGTTCCTGGTTAGAGGTGATCTAAGTCCGAAGGCCGAAACGTTTTCTAATGTGTCCTTGTTTGCTCACGTGCCAGAGAGAGTATATGTCTTATAGAGATGAAGAACCAGCCAGACCTGACCTGCTATTTCCCCAGGGCGACTCGGACATGGAGGAGGTAACCTACAACGTCCCAGAGTCAACCATCACAGCAAAAGAAAATGCAGAAGTATGCAATAAGATTTGTTCCTGAGTTAAGGGACATAAGATATGTCATGGAGAGGCTAGTGGAGTTGAATCTAACAACATTGGAGGAATTGAAGGGTAGTCAGGGACAGGCTGTTTGAGAGGCGAGAAACGGGAACTCAGGGACAGGTGGAAGTTAAAGACAAATTTGAGCTACAAGGATGTCTGGAAACATTTTAGTCTCAGAGTGGTCGGAATGTGGAATGATCTCGATGAAGATGTGGAGGCAGACTCTATACATAGCTTTAAAAGCAGGTACGATACAGCAAACGAGACTAGGAGTGAATCTGGCAAGCGGAAAGTTGAGAGGGGCCAGGAACTAAAACTCGACCCCTGCAGCCACATATACAGTACGTACACCCACGCACATATGCAGGCTCTCACATGCACGCAGGCTTACCTACACAAGTACACAGGCAGACTCACACATGCACGCAGGCTTATCTATACAAGTACACAGGCACTCATATTCACGCAGGCTTACCTACACAAGTGCACAGACAGACTCACACATTCACGCAGGCTTACCTACACAAGTACACAGGCAGACACACACATTCACACAGGCTTACCTACACAAGGACACAGGCAGACTCACACATGTACGCAGGCTTACCTACACAAGTACACAGGCAGGCTCACGTACACATTTTGGCTTGCTCGTGCAAGCAGGCTCAGACGCGCGCACAATATCACTGCACTAGCCAAGGAATCGAGCACATGCTGTTTTGGCCCGCCTCATGGTAAGCGACAACGTATGACGCTTTAGACCACTAGACCACACAATGATCTAGTGTTGTGTGGTCTAGTGGTCTAATGCGTCATGCATTTTCGCTTACCATGAAGAGGGCAAAAACAGCATGGGCTCGACTCCTTGGCTAGTGCAGTGTTATATATATATATATATATATATATATATATATATATATATATATATATATATATGTCGTGCCGAATATGTAAAACTGGTCAATTAGCAAGAACTCATTTAAAATTAAGTCCTTTCTAAAATTTACTCTTATACGTTTAAAAATATATTTTTTTCATTAATGTTGATGTAAAAATTTATAATTTTGCACCAAAAGGAACTTAGAAAACTTACCTAACCTTATCATAACAAGCTCAATTTATTTTAGCCTAACCCAACTAAATATATTTTAGATTTGTTTACAATAATTTAATACTAAACAAACACAGTGAAATATTTTTTTTCGTTAGGTTCAGAATGATTTTGGCGAAATTATTGCATACACAAATTTTCACTTGTCCTTTATGGCAAGATGAACGTTGCTATTTAAGCCAAGATCGCAAATTCTGCCTATTCGGCACGACACACACACACACACACATATATATATATATATATTATATATATATATATATATATATATATATATATATATATATATATATATATATATATATATATATATATATATATAATTTTATACGTCGTGCCGAATAGGCAGAACTTGCGATCTTGGCTTAAATAGCAACGCTCATCTTGCCATATAGGACAAGTGAAATTTTGTGTATGCAACAATTTCGCCAAAATCATTCTGAACCTAACGAAAAAAATATATTTGATTGTGTTTGTTTAGTACTAAATTATTGTAAACGTATTTAAAATATATTTAGTTGGGTTAGGCTAAAATAAATTGTTCTTGTTATAATAAGGTTAGGTAAGTTTTCTAAGATTCTTTTGGAGCAAAATTAAAATTTTTTATATATCTTTATATAAAAAATTTTATATATCTTTAAACGTATATATCTTTAAACGTATAAGAGAAAATTTCAGAAAGGACTTAATTTTAAATGAGTTGTTGCTAATTGACCAGTTTTACATATTCGGCACGACATATATATATATATATATATATATATATATATATATATATATATATATATATATATATATATATATATATATATATATATATGCAATAAGATCACAGTAAACAGGTGATTTCAAATATGCAAAACAACCACTCTGAAAGAATAGAGAAATTCCAAGCGCTTTCGTGACTACTCACATTATCAAGGAACTGATAAGTGAGTAGTCACGAAAGCGCTTGGAATTTCTCTATACTTTCAGAGTGGTTGTTTTGCATATATATATATATATATATATATATATATATATATATATATATATAAAATATATATATATATATATATATATATAATCACATTAAATTTATACTGTTAAGTCAGGTGTAATGAAAATCCAATGGTGACTAGTTTGTGCACGCAGGTGTTGCTATAACTCAAGCCATCACCTGTGTCATTATAGGATGTTAGTGCTATGAGGGTCAGTGTGATGTGATACAGCAGTGTACCTGGCGCTCACTGTGAAGCCGCAACCCTGCAGTACTTTTTATAAATGCCGAATGAACTATACACTGATCATAAGGACGATTATGCTGGTACTGGTAAATTTGAGTGTGCTTGCAGCTGTCACTGTCGGGATTGGTGGTAGCGAGGCAAGAACTCGTTATTTCCGCTGTGGTGGTCAAGCAAGTCTTCAAGTTGATCAATTTATCTCCTTCAGATCTCCCAATCATCCCTTACAATACCCAAGGCCTTCACAGTGTATATGGAGTGTTACAGCACCGGCAAACACCGATCTTAAGGTAACTTGTCCTACCTTCGCTGTAAAGCCAAGTGCTGGTTGCCAAGATGACGTATTCTACGTCTTTTCCAGTGCCATTATTAACGAGGCCATCAGCAGCAAGTATTACTGTGGAACGGGAAGCCTAAATATTCTCATACATAACAACAGTTTTGCTGCAGTGTTCCTTTCCAAGTACATGCAGTATGCTACCTATTACACAGGTTTTCGCTGTACTGTCAGTGTAGTAAAGAAGACAGTTACCTCATCTACCACCTCTACTGTTGCGCTGAGGACGACAGCAGCTCCCAGTGAAATTTCTTCAGTGTGTGGAGTGAAGGGGACCTCTCGGATTGTTGGAGGTGAAGATGCTGATGTGAACGAGTGGCCATGGCAAGCAGGAATCCGTCAAATGTCTAATGGAGAACTATTCTGCGGTGCAGTCCTCATAGACACTCAGTGGCTGGTGACAGCCGCGCACTGTCTTGTGCCATTCAATATAGAAGACATCTTCATAAGCTTGGGAAATCACGAACTAGCTTTGGGAAACACAACGCCATACACAAGACTCTTGAGCATAGCTGAAAAGATTGTGCATGAAAATTACAATCCTTTTACCGTGGACAACGACATTGGTTTAATACGCCTAAGTGGACCCATTCAGTACAATGAAGGTGTGAGACCCATCTGTCTACCGTGTCAATATGCATCGTACAACCTGAGTGGGGAACATGGCACCGTGACTGGGTGGGGGACACTTAGCAATAATGGAGAGCAGAGTGCAGTGTTGCAGAAGGTGGAGCTGCCAATACTGACAACTGATGAATGTCAGGTCTATATGGGCAATACTGTGACAGATAATATGATATGCACGTACCTGCCAGGTCAAGATGCTTGTAAAGGGGATTCTGGGGGCCCACTAAGCTGGTCCATGGGAGATCACTACTACCTGCTAGGAGTGGTGTCCTTTGGTGTAGGATGTGCCTCAGAGCAATACCCAGGAGTCTACACTAAAGTTACAAACTATCTACAGTGGATAAAGAACAAGACAGCCATCAACCTCTGTCCTCAAGAATCCAAAATATTTAGTGAAATAAATATACCATTATAGGAATGATGAACATCATGTAACTGCTGAACTTGGAACATCACGAAGCAACTGAACCTTGAACATCACGAAGCAACTGAACTCTGTACATCATGAAGCTACTGAACTCTGTATATCACAAAGCTACTGAACTCTGTACATCATGAAGCTACTGAACTCTGTATATCACAAAGCTACTGAACTCTGTACATCATGAAGCTACTGAACTCTGTATATCACGAAGCTACTAAATTCTGTACTTCATGAAACTATTGAACTCTGAACATCATGAAGCTACTGAACTCTGTACATCACGAAGCTACTGAACTCTGTACATCATGAAACTACTGAATTCTGTACATCACGAAACTAATGAACTCTGTACATCATTAAGCTACTAAAGCTATGGGACTTTATTACATTTATGGAGAAGTGCTGCACCTATAGGGGTCAAACAGCATCTGAGGAATGAAAGGCAATTGGATGATCCAAGGGAAGGATAGCTCCAGTTCATCAAATCAAGAGCCTCTCAGAGGCATTACTTGAACTCCTACTGTGCCACTAAGTGCTGGATTCCAACTCCAGGGTCCTCACTTCAGGTGTTACTTCTAGGCTCGTTATGTTATCATCAATTTAACCAAGATGATTTTAATTCAATTTAAAATAAACAATGATCTACTAGCCTCGATTTTGTTGACTGCTTGAATTAAAAACAAAAGAGCATTGTTTTTAACAGGAGTCTGAAATGTTGTCTTCTAAATATATGATAAAAAATTACTTTAAAATTATTTAAAATTGCATAATTTATTTTACAAATAATTATATATATTCCTCCCATGTTTTTTTTTAATTATCTGTAATCTGTTCTATAAGTAAATAAAAATAATAGCCTATCTTGTTTTGACATCATGCTTTCTCTTAAATAATATAACATGTAAAAGAAATTTTACATAACATGTGGGTTCCATACCAGTGCCAGATACTCCAAGATGGACCTCATGTATGTTTTGTAAAGGGGCCCTGAATGACTTTGTTGAGAATCTTGAAGGCTACACTAAGATTTGCCAGGCAAGCACTGGACAAAAGAATATATGAAATTAAAGTTGTGAGGGAATAAAAACCAACTTTAAATGTAAGTCGGGTTAGTTTACTGTTAGCAACAAGGAAATGTGTACCATTTCTAACACTTATTTCCTCTTTTCATTTTACACAAGAGGATACAAATAAATTTCCAGAAGTCTATAATTATATACACAGGACAAGATAAAAATGCAAGATCAATGTCACTTGTGCAACTAGATTGAAATCAAACAATTCGATGAACCCTAATTAGCTGTTTTAGAAGGTCTAAGGAATGCAAGGAGGAATTTTGCCAAGTACATGTACATGGTATACAGGCCTAACTGATATCAATGACACACGTACTATATAAAACGCCCCTTGTTATGCAGAGCATTTCAGGAAAATTAGGTTAATTTTGTCCCAGGATGCAACCCACACCAGTTAACTAGCACTCAAGTTTGTTTTACTACTAGGTGAACATGGACAGCAGGTGTCTTAAGGAAATGCATCCTAATGTTTCCATCCATACTGGGAACTGATCCACGGACCTCAGTGTGTGAGGTGAGTGTGCTAGCAATCAAGCTACGGGATACCTCATAGGTAATCTCTTGAAAAGATCACTTCAAATGGCCATCACACCATGTAAGCAAAAATGGCAAATGTAATACTACACAATTTATAGATCCTTATAAATTATATACCAATCAGTCTAACTTCAGTAGTGGAAAAGTTGATGTAATTAATAACTGCGGATGCAATTTGAAACTACCATGAAAGTTATAATTTGATCACTGAATCTCAGCATAGTTTTATAAAGGGGAATTCTTGACTTACAGATTTATTAACCTTTTCACTAAGGTATTAAGGTAGTAGACCATGATAAGTCAATATCGTGTTTAAGAACTCTGGAAAGGCCTTTATCAGGAGACATAAAGTAGCAGCACATGATACAGGAGAAATTATAGCCTTTTTTTTTTTTCCAAGGTACGGTTGACCAAAGGGCAAGAGAGGTTTGCATAAATTGAAAGAAATCAGAATGGAGACCTGTTACAAGTAATGAGGCATAGGTGTCAGTACTGGGAACCTTGTTCGCATTCTACATAAACAACAGATGAGGGCTAAATAGCGAGAAAAGTAAGTGTAGCGATGATGCTAAAATAGGTCATCAAATAAATTCTGATAGGGACACTAGAAAGATATTTTATGATCTGAAAAGATTGAAGTCATGGTCAGAGAAGTGGCACATGAAGTTCAGTGAAGACAAATGTGAGATTCTAATTCAAGGAAAAGAAAATAACTATGCTAGATAATGTAGAGCATAGTCAAACTGAATGTAAAAATTATATAGATCTCATTAGCAGAAATTTGAAGTCAAGACAGTGGTGCATAAGTGTTTGCAGCAAATTTGGGTATCATTATTTGTATATATTTCAACAACCAGTGGCTGTATAAAAAAAAAGAGGCAATCAGTGCCTTACCCTAGAAGCCAGACACTAAGATACTGAACACCTTCTCTTAGGCTGAGTTACTGATTACCACTTCTAGTCTTCAGCTGATGCCCCTATATTATATTGATAAAGCCACTGAGATTCTGATGAAATTCTTTATTTCAAATTACTATTGCATATTCAAAATGAACAATGATAAGAAACTCACAGGATGCACAGCATTTCAGATAAAACCTAGAATATTATTAAGAATTACAAAGTTTCATTTTCAAGGGCTTATACAAGGTATTAACAGGAGGTTAAAAAATACAAGTAATTATCTAGTTGTAAAAGGGTGAGTGCAACTAATTTATGGATTTAAAAGTTATCTGAAGATTATTTCAGCAGACATGGATATAGGAAGTTAAGTACAAAGATTATTCTACATACAATTCTCAGTACAACAGTTACCTCTGAATGGAATTGAAACATATGGTACATACAGTAGGAAGTAAAAAAAAAAATATAGTGGAAACAAGGAGTACAGGATGAATAATGAATTAAAACTCAACAAACAGGTTTCAAAATGCAATTGAACACAGAATATTGAGGCCATGAATCACATTAAGGTAAAGAGGTACTTTATAGTGGTTGCTTTGAAGAGATTGGCAGACACAAAACTTTTGGAATCATCTGGAAACGAGTTCCTAATTTTGGGGCCTTTTATGCACATTGAGTTTTTACTCAGGGATATGAAAGGGGTATTTGTATCATGCACCATCATCATCAAGCTTATTAACCTTATAAACCCTTTCAACTCTGACTACCTTGCATTAGTATTCAGATAAAATAATGAATAATTAAAAAGATAACCACTCTTATCCTTTTTAAAACTCAAGTATTCTTTAAGTATTAGGATTAGTCTGCCTGAAATGCCCTGGCATGATAGTGGCTTTCTTTGTACCTAACAAATAAAAAATGTAATTACTCTTTGTAACCTTTGTCAAAGAAATAAATGTTTACATTTAACTTTAAGAGTTATGTTGTAGCTATCCAGGAAGAGAATCAGAGCTGGATTTATATTTGTATTGATTTTTTCTGTATATGAGTGAATGTTTTTGTATGATGAGCAGGTTTAAAACTTTTGAAGAGTTGGGGAAGGGAAGGGGGGTCATCTAGCACTTGCTTGAGTGATCATTCATATGGCAGCTTTTTCTTGAGTTACTAATGGCGTTAGGTAATTTGTTGTAGTATGTAGAACCCCAGCCACGAATACCATAGGTGCCATAAGGATAGGCTAAAGTAGTACAGAGGAACTAATGCTGTTTGAGGCTACAAAGTGATATATCCCAGAGTGGATGCCCATTGTTTTGGGTGGGAAAACGTCTACAAATAAAAATGCACAGAATTATATTTTAATCAGGAAAGCACTAAACCACAAGGGTTAAATAGTGACTAGGGAACTGGAAGCACTCATGACTGACCCAAGGAAAGGACAAGTCCAGTTCCTTGGATCAAGAGCCCCTCACTAGCATCAAAGCATCTCATGTGGAAAATACTGTATATATTTTCCGGAAATACGGTAATTTATAGGTAAATAGATGCCCTATATTGTATTTTTAAAAGAAGTATGTTATCGAAAAAAAAAAGAGACACTCGCCATCTTGGTTTTGAATTTTGTACAAACGTTGGTGTAATGGGAAGAATTTTTCGTGCTCTAGAGGTTAAAATTGTGTTGACACCTCTCAAATAGGAGGCAAAATTGGTGGATGTGCATTCCTGCATAACTTGATATATCAGACGACTGGACAAGACAGCTTCAGGAACCTCAGATAAGCTCTCTAGATTTGTGTGTAATTCTGGCCAGCATTATTTTCATTGATTTAGTTAGAGTGAGGTTTTCTGAGTATGATACACATTAATCTCCAGTCAAATTGGTGAGTGATATTAAGATATATTTTCCTTCTGTTATGTAATTGTGTATATATATAACCATTTATTATTTTTAATATACAGTCCACAAATTTATATATTTACCAGTATTCCTGGTGTATGTATATTTCATTTAATTAATAGGTCCAGAGCAACTTGTGGTTATGACAGTGGTAGGTATCGAAGGGGGACATTTTTGCAACCTAGGTGTCCCAAATTCCTACTTGTCTATGTAACGTTGATAAATAATAATTATCTTTATCATTTACTGTTATGTACATAATTAGTTACATTCAGATAAATGCAATTTTCCACATTTAATTTGCCCGTTGGTCCTTCTTGAACCGGAGGTAATTAGTGAAGTCATTAATTGGTTAATTACTTAATAATTATATGTGAAATGACAGAAGTAGGTGGATGTTAAGTTCACAAATTTACTTAATGTGTAGTGGATTATAATTATTACAATATTAATTTTGATAAGTCAAGTCTGGCTAAGTTTATATTAATTTGTATAATATTAATTTGATAAGACAGTTCTGGCCAAGAAGTTTTATATCAGTGTATGTGTAATTGATAAGCCAGGTGTTGCTAATTATATTAATGTGTATAATATTAATTTTACTTAATGTGTAGTGGATTATAATTATTACAATATTAATTTGATAAGACAATTCTGGCCAAGATTTATATCAGTGTATGTGTAACTGATAAGGCAAGTGTTGCTAATTATTAATGTGTATAATATTAATTATTTTGCTATGCCAAATTCTGGCAAGGATTTATATTAATTTGTATAATAATTTTGATAAGCCAAGGCTGGCTAAAGGTTTGTATTAATGTACATTTAAAATTTATATATAAATTTCTTACATGTGTAATTGCTAAGCTCAAGTGTAGCTAACATTATTAATGTGTATTTAAAATTTATATTACAAATTTTACAAGAATGTAATTTAGTTTATTTAAAAATTTTTATTTTTTTTAAATTTTTAAAAAAAAAATC